GCATGCATGAAGGCACACATGAGCAAACTGGCAGTAGTGCCAGCCAGAACCCATTCCTGCTACAAACACATCCCTTTCCTTAATGTTACCTTTTGAAACAAGCAACAAAGGAACAAAAGAATTCCCAACTGCAAAAGATGAACCCTTTGGAAAATAATTATCATAAAAAGATATTTATAATCAGAGACATGTGCAAGGGTAGTTAAATAAGTCAAGTTGATGGTGGTAAATGCATGAGCCAAGTTCTAGTCCTTTTTTGCAAGCATCATAGCAAGGTGAGTTTGGATTTCACCATCAGAGCTGCCATCTTGACTTTTTAACATCCTTTCCTGCAGATGCCTTTGCATAATGCACATTTGGGACAGATATCTTAAAACTCCTACTCACTTGATTCTATGGCAGTAACAGTTAGGTTGTGCCAAATTTGTTTCTCTCGGTCCAGAAGTCCATTTATACTAATTGTTCCATTGTGGGCATTAATGCTGAAAAATGTCTTTAAATACTTGTGGTGGGTAATAGAATATCTGCACATGAAAGGTTTAGAAAAAAGAGAGAAGAAAGAGAAAGAGTGAGTTTCGGAGACCTGGAATGCAAAAATTCCTTCATAAAGAAGGACATATAAACTATTGTCAGTCAAGGAAACAGAATTGTGTAGCCATGAATATGGATATGTGTGCTTTGGCTATACAGAAATCATGAAAAATGAACAGTGATAAACATTTAAAATTCACTGCTGCCAAGATCAAAGCCCCTCTTTTTATGCACTGAAATATGCTCATACCTGTATTAGAGTGAAGCAAATCTAAAATGCATTATTCATTCTTCTTTCACAGACAGGCTCCCAGCAGGTGAAGGACTCGATTAAAAAGAGACAGTGAAGTGCCACTTGTGAAGTGACTCACACTGGCAACTAAGTTGGGCTACAGCAGTGCATTTTTATTGTGGCTGCTTTGAAACAATGTCAAAGGGAAAAAATACTAAGAGGAGAAAGGCAAAAGAACAACTACCACTTCCATTAAACATAAAGGATAGAAAACCCTTGGAACCAGGAGAACAAAACTGATAGATTTATTTTCACAGATTTTGTGACCCATTTATTTTGCTTAGTTTAGCTTTCCTTCCTTCTCTACCTCTCAGAGCAGGAAACTTTATGAAAGTTTCCTTTTTCTGAATCCCAATGAAGCAAGGGATACCGTGCAAGCAGGAGATTTATCTATAACCTCCATTGCAATAAAATAACTACATGTGTAATGTTCAGATATACAGCACCCAAAGGCCTACACCAATGATCTTGGGAAGTATTCTTCAATGTCACTAAAAACCATATAATAATATTATGTCCAGTCATATCTCTATCCAGGCATATTTTAAGATTTGGGGTGTACCTGATTGGACTGTCAATATCATCTGGATCTCTGGCACTCACAGTTCCCACAAATGAGCCATTCAAGTTGTCTTCAGCAACCTCCATAAAGAATTCCTCTAATAGAAACACTGGAGGTTCATCAGCATCCTTCACTATGATCCTGAGAATTGTTTCATCTTCAAACTTAGCGTCTTTTTCAAGGAAGTGCTTTTCAACATGCCGGTTAATGCCTTTAACTTTTATTTTGTATGCCCTTTGGCTTTCATAATCAACTGTCTATAAAAAGAAGAAGAAGAAGAAAATTGGATACTGAGAAATTAACAATAAGCAGGTAATTGAGAAACATTGCTTCAGTTTCACAGGGAATGTTTTCAAAATAGGCATGTTATCCAATATTTTTCTGCCCTAAGGGGAAAAAAATGTTAGTGTAATCCTCATGTGCATACTTTTTTCAGTTACCTTTCTTACTAGTTGGCTTTGGTAATATAAATTACTGTATGGTGTTTCACTTTGTCCAGTGATCTGGCACCTTCCATGGGTTTCCCATCCAAGAGAAAGAGAATCATCATGAACAAATCCCTCCAATGTTTCCCAGCCAGGAAGCATGGGGAGATAAGGAAGAAGCAGAATTGTGGAGACAGTTTAGCAGATTAACAGAATTGGATGGGACTTTATAGGTCATCTTTCCAACCCCCCACTTAAGCAGGAGACCCTACACCACTTCTGAAAAATGAGAGTCCAATCTCTTCTTGAAAGTCTCAAGTGATGAAGCCCTCACAACTTCCAAATGCAAGCTTTCCATTGGTTGATTGTTCCCACTGTCAGAAAGATCCTCCTTATTTCTAGTTTGGATCTCTCCTTGGTCAGTTTTCATCCATTACTCCTTGTCCAACCTTCAGGATCACTTCTGGAATGGAATGGAACAGCCACTGCCATCTTGCCATGGCCAACTTTCAGATACCATCTTGCCATAGCCAACTCACTAAAGCCATCTCTCTGTGGCCAATCCA